ACATGTTATCGACACGTTGATTAAATTCTTAAAAATTCTTCATTTATATAGTATAAATTTAGTTTTATACTTGTTATTAATTTTCTTGTTGAAATCTTTTAATCACGAGTAGCTATTTGTTACTTGCTAATAACTTTGATTTAACTATATAATATTTCAAATATAAAAAAAAAAAATGATTATGGTAGAGTGTTTGAGAAGTGTCGGTATCGACTCGTGCACGCTACTCTAATTGAAGTATCCGTGCTACAGAGTTGTTCTGTTTGTTTAGGGGGATTTTATAGTATATGATATTGCGTCATTCTCTCTATATTTGGGTTTTTTCCCCTCACAATTTCTGGGTGTGCACATGGTTATATGTAAGCACTTGTATGCATGAACGTGCCACATTCTGCTTTCATGTTTGTTATTTTCATGGGACGGTGGGATGACAAGAATGAGCCAGTGGGGGTGGGGGTCGGGTGGGGGAGAGAATAAGACTCAGTAGATTGGGAAATTTGTTAAGCATCAATTAATTTGGGGTTCGGTTTCATAGGTTCCTTTAGAAGGTTTCAAGGCACTGCAAGGCATTTCTGGTCCCCAGAGATTTCAGATTCACAAGGCATATGGAGCTCCTGAACGGCTGCCATCAGCTCATACCTGGTAAGTTTCTACATGTACCAGGATAGTGAGTTTATTATTTAGCTTCTTTCACTTGCAGAATTGCTTGCATTGTAATCTTGGCCTGCTAATTCACGGATCTCCATTATTTCAGCTTCAATCAACTGGACCTTCCAGAGTATTCTTCAAAGGAACAGCTTCAAGAACGTTTGTTGTTGGCAATCCATGAAGCTAGTGAAGGATTTGGTTTCGGTTGAATTAAAATCGAGACAATGTGGCTTTGCATAATTTCTGCTGGAACTTATTTCAGCATTGCCATGTACATGTTAGTAGTTCCTTACTTTGTTTTGAATGTCAATTTCTTGGGATTTACTTGGACCTTGGTTACTCTGAGCTTGAGCTTTGACACGTCAAAATAAACTTCTTAATTTTCTCCATTGATGGGAAAACTGAACTTTATCTGGAAGTTTATTCCTATTGAGAATTTTTCACATACAATGACGAATTCAAGAGTCATTAGTTTATAGGAAAAACAATTGGGCATAGAATTGGTTTATTCATTAACCTGACACTGGTTGTATTATGCAATACACAGACATGCTATTAGGCAAATTTCATTTGTCTTTGTTGTGATTTATATTTATTTTGCAGGTAAAAGCTTATGGATTGGGATCAATTGGAAGTATTACCCGGTAGCAAACTACACATGAACACGAGACACCCAGAGTTTCCTCTTGTCAAAAGTTGCTGAATCACCATTGACTTCATCTGAATCGGCGTGTGGATTTCTTAAGACTACTGGGGTTGGTTTTTTGGTTTCATTTTGCAACTCAGCTCCAGGTTAACGAAGAGAGTATGTTGCCCTTGTGCGCACACTTTTTTGTTTCGTATCTTGCTTTTGTGGAGGGAGCGTGGTTCTTCGGTATTGTGCAAAGATCTACTAGCTTGTTTTAATTATTTATCATGTCTAATGGTGAATTGGCTTCCTGTACAATATATTACAAGTAATACAGTAATGAATTATGGTGTTTGTCAGGTAATCTAAATCTCTAGTACTTGTGGAAATGTTGGCATCTAATAAAAGTACAGATGCTATTGCTTTTTCATTTTTGGCTGCTATGTCTCTTTTCCTTGTGTACATTTCCCTAGAGTTTGGGAAGTTGATTCTTTACCAAGCCCTTCACGCATAATCAGTTATATGATTCATGTTACAACATTTTTTTAAAGAAAAAAAGTGCTACAATCTCTGAAAGCCCGGAAGAAACATTAAAAACAAATTACAAGGTACTTGCTACTGATTAGTGATTAGCGCACTTGAAATGATCAGCTTGCTGTTTGATATTCTGAAGCGTCATCGTCATCAACATCCACGGTGGGTTTACTGGTACTGCGGTCGTGTTCACCGCACAACCGTGAAATAGCATTGGTATCAAGCTCTTTCTCGACCTTCCCCTCTTCCTCTCTGCTGCCCAGTGGAGGAAGAGACTCTACTTTCTTTGTAGCCATGGTCGAAATTGTTCAACAACGAGGAGGTTTAAAAATGGCTGGATATAATTTTGCCGTATATAGAATTCGTAGAAATCAACTTGTTATATGATATATGTCATGAAACGTCCTCAATGCTAAGGATATTCATTGGTTGACAACAGCCTCAAAAAATTCGTTACTGAAGGACAAAAATAAAGTTATTGTTGCATTGTTTAATAAAAAATAAACTTCCGACTTCATTGGATGATCTAGTGGTTCGTAGTCCTATTGATTGATGATCGAGTGAGCTCATAGTTTTATTGATAAATGGATCGCGAGGATTTTCATTATGATTAGCTATGATCCAAAGAATAGGGATGACAACCACTCGAGTTTGATCTTTAAATATTATTTGCACTCCGTCGAATACGATTGACATGTTCGTGTCTACAAGATGGGCTAGGGCTGACTCGTAGATCAATGGACTAGCCCCGTCCAATCCTATCCGATCCTATCCGTAGAAGGGTGAGGCGAGCCCCCGCCACCCCCCTTTATTTTTAAAAAATAAAATACGTAATAAAAAAATTAAGAAAAATAATAAAATAAAAAGTGATCTAGCACCACTGGTGTTACAAAACTAGTTGGGTAACACTAAATATCATTAAATAAATCACATAAATTCACATTTAATTGAATTTATCACTTGATTTTTTAGATGCTATGTATAATTATTTTAAAATAATTGATTTATGGATGGGCCTATTGGCTGACATATTGGTCTAATCTAGCTCAATAATGGACCGTTGATTTGGAGAGATCTTAAAAGACCGCAATCACAATACATTTTTAAAGAGGAATAATATTGAATTCTAGGAAATTTGAATAATAAATGAGTAATAGTTATGAATATGTAATTGAAATTAATGTTGATTTTGATTAAATTTATAAAATATTTATAAATTGATTGCAAAATCCAGGTAAACTTTTTAAGAGTATCGACAATCAACAAATTTGTGATACATTTCACTATTCAACCTTAATTTTTGATTACTCCCATTGAAATATACCATTATCTAACAAGCATATTAATATACCATCAAGCAACAACATGAACGGTAGGCCATGAATTGCTTGCACAATGCTCAAAATTTGACATTAATAAAAAATTTCTCATCTATTTGTGGTTCATTTTTAGCAATCTTTAATATGAAATGTTTCAGAAGAAAATTCAGAATTCAAATTTCTGATGACCTAAAGAAAATGGAAAAATAATTAGGGGCTGTTTTTTTTTTTTCGTATTTTAGTTTTTAGTTTTGAATTCATCTTGGGATTTGTGTTTTGAGTGTTCATTTTGAGATTGCTGAAAACGTATTCTTTTTGTTATTTTGAAAAATTATTTTCAAAAATAAAAAAGTGAAGTTTTAGTTTGATTTTAGCTGAAAACGGTCAAAACGAGTCTTTTGGCGTTTTTCGTTTTCTTTGTAAATTTAAACTCGTTTTTTGAAACTTTGTTTATGAAAATAAGTAAGTAAACATGTTCTCAATATTTTCGAAAATTGAAAATTGAGGATGACCTAACATACCCTTAATTTTCCCAATCGGGAGATGCTAGAGGTACATCACCT